AGGTCACCTGAAGGTCAGGTCAGGTCATTGACCTTTGGTGACCTCGGGTGACCTCGGTTCACTTTTTGGAGTTTTGCATGTTTTTAGGCTAGTTTTTGGAGCTGAATTCGAATTTAGCAACCATTTGAACATTTACGAAGTAGTTTTGGTGCCTTCGTAACATGTTACGAAGCTGTCATAGGCGGTTGACACGTATTACGAATACCCGTCACAACCCCTACCGGTTGACCTGACCTGACCTGACCTGACCTGACCTGGTCTAAATGCTTAAAGACATCATCTCTGATCAAAACTAACACGATATTCGTGATCAGCACCCCGGAAAACCACATAGCAGCCACACTTTACGACTTTCTAACAGGTCCCGATTTTCCCGGTTCTCGGGTCATTGACCTGACCTGGAAGGTCACCCGACGACCTAGAACCTTAAAATTGGGTATCATCGGCTTCGTCTCGTGACGGGCAACACGCTCGTTTTTTCCGCGGAGCTCTAGCTCGATCAGGGGCCAAACGCGAGGGGGGGTCGTACCAACCAACCCCCCTTGTGCCGTCGAAGGACGCAAAATGGCCTGTGCCGGCGAGGGTTAAATGTTCAAATGGTTGCTAAATTCGAATTCAGCTACAAAAGACTAGCCTAGAAACATGCATAACTTGAAAAAGTATACCGAGGTCGTCATAGGTCAATGACCTGACCTGACCTTCAGGTGACATTGACATCCACCCTTATGCATGGGAGCAATATCAAATCACATACGGTCGAACGCTCGTTTGAACGCTCGAAACCACGAAAGGACTGCAAACGCGCGGCTAATGCGAGCCGGCAACGCCGAACCGCGATTCTGGCCAAACATGGTCTCGGAAAGAAGGTCACAGGTCAAAGGTCATTTGGGTAAGGGTCATGAAATATCTAGGGTAGGTGTAAAATTGATCAACGCGAGGGTACTGAAAGCTACGTCGCGATCAGCCGCTTTTTAAGCGAGTTATTCGCGAAAAAATCCTAAGGGGTTTCATCAACCCCTCCCCCTGTGCCGGCGAGGGTTAAAACGTCTTGTGAGCGAATTCACGTAATGAAGAAGAATAAAGGCACGATCTACTACAGCAGCCAATAGATGACTGGACAAGCACATGGGACTACTTAAATCTTGTCCGATAGAAGCAGGCAACAGTTCCGTTTGCATATATGCTTTGTATATTGCGGAAGGAGCTCATTTCGGCCTCGTGGCCTCGAAAGATACGAATTCATACGTCATAGTAACATATTTCTGTCATGGTCAATACGCGTAGAAATTGAACATCGGGTGATTACCGAGCTATTGTTCTATCAAAATTTTCCGATTCAAACTCACTCAGGGTTATCGTGCAGGTAAAGGGGGCCCGCTCAGCAGAATGCGTATGAAATATGGAAAGATTCTGAAAAATGGGTGGGGGGCCCGCACACTAGGGGCCCGCTTTGGAGGCGATGACCCCCCCGAAACGAAATCCTGGCTGCGCCACTGATGTCTGTCAAATAAGATAAGTTTTCTTCTGCTTATTATGCTAGAAAAAGTATAACACGTATTCACGAAACGTAAAATTAGGAATTTCTCGCAAATCACCTAAACCAATGCGGTGCACTGCCCATGCCTGCACTTCTGTTGTCGTCGCGCTGCCAAAAGACAGTCAGCTGTCGCCCTAGACCTTTTTATATTTCTGATATCGGGGTGGGCGGTGTTTCCCAAAGGGCGGTGTTCCCCCATCTTCCCCTATTTCAGATCAGTTTTACCAGGTGTTAGGGTGAAATGGCAAAAACTCAGAGTCATGAATCAATAATTCAGATGACACGTTAATTACTACGAGTATGCGGAATATCCCTTATCTACTTATATTGTAGCCGTCAAGTAACACGATATGCAAAGAAGGCATTAATGAGTAACCTTATGGCATTATTAGTGATAAGGATGGCAGAGAAACCGGACGACAGACAATTACGCGGAGAGCCCGTGGGCGCCTCTTGATAAGATATGAGCACGAGCTGAATGTGCTGCTACCTGTTAAAGTGCCGGCGCTCAGAGCTAATGGCCCTCGAAGCAAAGCGCGTAAATCTGAGTAAAGTGCCACAGGCAGCTGGCGCAGATCTGTAATGTTTCAGATGTTTTCTCAAATTCCTGCAAGAGATAAGCCACTGGTTCGTAATATCATGTTTATTTTATTCGGCCTCTTTGAGCTAAACCCAGTATTATCTAAAGTAAGTATACATAAATAAAACATTGACTTCAGATGGGAGCTGGCTTGATTTTACCCGAAAGGATCATGTTGCAAATCAGTTGCTTTTCTCCAGGAAACAAGGAGGACGGGGTATCACGTACGGCTAATAATACCGTCTGAGCTCAGCCCGCTCAGTTCAGGCCATACCATTCTTCTGTCTTCGCCGGCAAGTGGGCTTCCGAGACGAGACGAGCTCTCTCGCGGCTGCTCTTGAGCGGTACCGTCTCCTGAGGGCGTTTATTTGCCGAGGACCGAGTGATAAGCGTTGGCACCGGGTATGTGTTAGAGCCATGATAAACACTTTATGTCCGAGCTGGCGCGGCTTGTCTCTGGCAAAGGTCCGGGCGCTGAGGTACGAGCTCACCGCCGATGTTTGACACTCGGCGCGGCACTGTTGACCGTGCAGTCAGTGGTGACAAAAATATACACAGCTTCCGCTGCAGTGAAAATCAGCTGGCCGCGTTAAATCAGTGCTTAAAAACAAATCGGTGTCACAATTCTTTTGCTAAATGATTGTTATCGCATTACAGTTATCACATTACGGGTCAGCTGAAGTCGGTAAACGGAGAAGCCGTGTCCACTGCCTGGCTAAGTAAACATTAGGTATGTTGACTGTTCTGATTTCTGCCATGATCTCAATCCCATTTGCCCCAGTCTTGCAGTGCCATGACCAAACAGTGAAGACTGAGGACAGTCGTGAAAAGCTTCGCTTGGTGTTCGTTCTCACCCTGGAAATTTACCCTTTCAGGATAATCGGACTTCGTCTTTGTGTTTCAGTTTCATTCTACCAGTAGTTATCGAAAATTTTCCATTTTCTATTTGGGGTTATTTTCCACCGGAGACCTTCGCGGGCTGCCGGTCGGCTGAGAGGTCACTGCTAATTTGAAATCGCAGACTTTCCGATATCCGCCGACGTCTGTTCCACATATCATTTCATTTTTTATTCATTGGAACTGATGCTAATTTTAAATTGAGCCTGTGGATGACTTTTTTTAGTACTATGTGAAAAATTGAGTTGCGCTTGATGGTGGATGAGATACCTTATTTTATATGCCTTTTATTTAATTTTCATGCTTTTTATAACTATGTTGTAGGCTATTGTTCCTTGCAACATGCGTGGCTACTGTATACGCACAGGCTCATGGTGCGAGCTATAGAGATATCGTGGTTTAACTTTGATTGCACCCGGTGCCGGACTCCCGCTGTCGGACTCCCGGCGTAGCTGGACTCCCGCTGTCGGACTCCCGCGGCGTGGCCGGACTCAGGCACAGTCGCGACCGATGAGGTGCGTCCATCACACCGAGAGCCGAGTGACGTCACCGCAGCCGGCGAGCCGCTCGATGTCGCGAGGACAGCCAGTTGGGAACGTCGACACCTGGCTAGGTGGGTAAACAGTCTCAACTTCTAATTACCCCCTGTCCGAGTCGTGCGAGTAATCTGAACTCGGCATGTGTGTCTTCCGTGGTTCAGGCATTGCATACAGGGTTTGGAATTCAATAAATTGCTTCGAACAGCTGGGGCGTATGATCAGATTCGGCTCGGTGCCAACTGAACCGAATACGATAACCGTCAGTCACAACTGACGGACTCGAGGCGGCATCCCTTGCCTTTCCATATGTTGCGGTCACATAAGGTGGAGTAATTGTTTCGGATATATGCAGGGAGCTATAAGAGGGGAACCATGGCGATCGTGTACTAGTGAGTGACACCTCATCTAATGAAGCTTTCAGGCCCACGGTCGCCGGCGGCTCATATTTAAGGCCAGCTGCGATATCTAGGCCAGGCGTATGTGCGCTCATATAGGTTGTCATGGCGAATGGCTTCTGGCTCTTGCCGATCTCTGCTATGTTCTTGCCTCATGCTGATGGGAGTTTTTTATTGAATTATCCACCCGATCCAAAAGAATTTTTCCTCGTCCCTCGTCAGCGCACACCAAAGCAATGAACATCGTAATAAAATAAAATAAAAAAGATGCGAAGGTTTGCGGTTTATTGAGGAGGGAGGGAATACCAATAAATGCAATAAACATGCGTGCGTGCCTTGTGCTGATCAGCAATGTTTGTGCGCAAACATTGTGCAAAGAACATTTTCTAATTTGAATGGCTCATACTTCGCGCCGTTAGCTCTTCGGTCACGCCATGGCATTGAAACAGGTTCGTAACGATTTGTGCATTGTAGCTCATTTGTTCCGCTATGCGGGCTATAAAAACTATGTGTGGCCTGAAGGACGGTGCCGGCCACATAACATGATGTCTGTGTCATATGTGCCGGCGGGCTGACGAACGTCCGCACCCCATGCCATGTGGCGTGCCTCGGCCGCTGTCCAGCCCGGCTGCAGGACGCCAAGCCGGCGGCCGGAATTTCTGGCCACAGGCCCATATAGCCGTATCATCCTCCACGATCCGCGACCGAGCCGACCTGCCTCCAGACGGCACCCGAGCATGGCCGGCCTCTGTACCGGCGCATTACGGCGGGGAATTATGGCCGGATAAGAGGACGGCGGGCGGCGAACCAGGCCGCACGGCAGCGGGCCGGCCGGCCACGCGGCAGATCAGAGGAGCCACAGTGGCAGAGCCGCCGGCCGGCTGCTGCGGCCGCGAGGGACAGGGGGCGGCGGCCGGCGGTCACTCGTTAGGTCGACTGTCGGCCTGATGCCGTCGCTGACGCGGCGGCCGTCTGTTGACGCCGGTGACGCCAGCGGCGGGTGCACGGCGCGGGCCCGGCGCCAGCTCACCGGCTCTGTTTGGAGGACTGTCTCGGCCAGCGGCCGGCTGCGGCCGACGCGATCGAAAGCGGCGGCGGCCGGCGGCGGTGGCCAGTCGGGACCGAGTGGCCGCGCGGCCGGTCGGTTCACCTGAGCGCCCCGCCAAAGGGGTCGGGCCGGCGCGGGTCCGGCTGGGTGCTGTGTGCTGAGAGGTGCGGCGGCGGCCCACAGAGGCGCGCGGTGCTCGCGGAGGGACCGCGGTGAGTTGGGAGCAGAACGGTTACCGCGGTGAATTGGGAGCAGAACGGTGCTCTACCGTGGTGAGTTGGGGAGCCAGACGGTGCGGTCCGCGGAAGGTGACACAATTCAAAGGTCAAAGACAGCTAGTGTGAAAAAGCGAAACGTGCGCTGACTGGAAGGTGCGACTGGTGCGAGGGCGTAGCTCCTCGCTTCACAGAGGTGAACAGTGCTGCCGCACGCTACTGAAATCCAGAACAGTGCACCGTGAACTACAAAGGCAGCTCTGAGTGAGTTAACAAGTTTCAGTCGAACGCCCGTCAGAAAGTTCTAAACACTTCTTCAGTTCGAGGAAGTTTCCACTGACCTCACTTACTGTGACAACTTGGCACACTGTATATTGAATGATTTCAAGTTTGAGATGGCGGTAGATTCATTGTGTTTCCCTGGAAGTGGCGTGCGGAAGTTATAACAAACGTTTGCGGGCATTTTGATGAATCTTTTTTTTGGCGTATAGTAACAGCAATACTGCGATAGTAGAGCACTGAGCAGCGTCCTCTGTTTTCCACCTGCGGTGTCCGGCGGTCGCGATTAGTGCAGTGGTGACCGGCAATGGCGGTTCGTGCCTCCTGCGGCTAGCCGTACTGATGGTTTGTGCAGTGGTGATTAGTGCTGACGATTGGTGCACATGGGGTGATGGTTCCCTGTGCTATGAGCCGTTGCGGAGACCGGTACCGGTGATCTGGTGATCCGGTGGTAGCAGAGCGGCCGAGGACATGCATCAGATTGACGAGCAGGAGGAGCGCTCGGCTGAGAGGGACACGCCCTCGTCCGGCGACGAGGATTCGGACGGCGGCTCGCCGGGAGCGCAGGTGCCGCTGCCGCTGCCGCCCCCGGTCAGCTACGCTCTCCAGCGGCTCAGTGAGAAGCGGAAATGTCACAAGACGCTCAGCCTTCCGCCCATCAGCAGCAGACGGTTAGCGCGAGGGGCAGCGGTGGGGGGGGGGGGGGCAGGCAGTTATACTGACGGGTGCGGTAAGCGTATTGGGCACACTAATGCTGTTCAGACGTTAACGTTTGATCAATTGAATACAATTGGTAAAAATTCGACTTGGTGTTGCTGTTCTGATACCTCACTTACCTATTATTCACCTATATGAAAGCTGTAATCGATTTTAAGGCTAAACTTTGATTTTGATACCTTGGTTACCTTGAACTACTTGTTCCATTGTTATAAGGTTAGGAAGGTTAAGTATCACTTCTTGCAAAGGGATAGTTAAACCAGCTCTGGTCGGCTTTCGATTTTGGTCGGCATAGTTCTGACTTTGGATCCAGCTGAAGAAGGAGCATGCATACATGTTGCTAACAAAACATGTTCCTAATCACTGCAATCAGCAGAACCTCGAACCCTGGCTGGCGTTCATTTGTGACCGGTATCGTGCGCAAACGGGCTAGTGAACCCGGCCAAATAACTGGAATTAGACGTCTAACGATTGCGTTTTGCGCTGTGATCTGGCAACTAATAATTTTGCCGCGATGTCCTACAGTTGAGGATTTAAACAACTAAGTAACGTGATTAACCAGCCTGGATCACCAGTAGGCAGTAAGCTGATCCATTGTCCCTGTTTTGGTAAAACTGAAGTCGAGGAGACTGGAGTTAGGGTGAAGTTGGCTGTTAGGGGTGGGAATAATGTTGACGCAGCAGCTGTTTAGATCGCGTGACATAGCAGGCAGAAAAAGTTTCACAAAATGAACGCAATAGCATTGGATAGTCGATAATAAGCATCAATAGTTAACCTGTCAATTATCTCGCTGGTCTGCGTTTGTTGATTACATTTGAAAGTTGCAGCGATTGGCTGCTGACATTTAGGTAGGTATTTGCAGAATGGTTCTGTCCTGCAGCACTGGGTATTGGCTCTTCCTTGCTCATGCTGTTTGTTTTCACTATTGTTGCTGTATATTGACGCCTAGATTTAGAAGCACCCATCTCTGCATGATCACATGTAGGCATGTGGCAACTGACAAGACAAAGCACGGGTTTGGCGATGTGTGCCTGTCGTAAATTCCTGCTATCTCTGTTAGCAGGTCCCTGTGGTCCAAAGTTTCGAGTTAGCCTTCACTCCTGTAGAAGTTTGGCTGAACAATTAGCGCCCTGTTTGCTGTAGAGGCGAAAATCAATTGCACTAAATGCATACCTACGTTAGCTTCCATTATTAGTTGGTAATGTTAACAATTGACATCAGTCATCGCCTTAACAGTCCATGGATAAAAAAGTTAAATAGAGGCTCCACTATAGCATCATGACATAGGCGGCGGAACGGGGAGGGCACCGGGGCACCGTGCCCCCTTTGATTATGGCCTTTTAACATTACCCCTATGGGAGTTGCATGGAAAGAATGGGATCAAAAGTCGGCAGTGCCCCCCTTAATTGAAGGTGTTCCGCCGCTACTGCATCATGGGGTGGCGCAGAATAGGTATGCCATTTTTACGACGATCCCAAATGTATTACAATGACAATTAATCCTAATCAATTAAAAAAAAGCAAAATTAAATTAAGCAAAAAAAAACTTAAACCTTAACCTTAAACCTTAATTTAAACCTTAAACCGTCTGATATCCCTCACTACATTGTTGAAGAGGGTACGCTCAAATTTGATATGAGCTCAAATCACATAATACGGCGTAGACCCGCGGTTGTGATTGTGTTGTGGCGGCTAGTGTGGCCGGGGTGTTCACTGTCGGCCCCTGATCGTTCCCGGGACGTGACCAGTTCAGTGACTGTCCAAGGTCACCGACTGAGCTCCACGGCAGCCCTGTCCTGTCGCCTGGTGACAGTCCAAACTGTCCTGTCAGCTGCTGACTGCTGAGGCAGTCCCTCCTGCCCGCTGGTGGTTTGCTATCCTGCCCTCTGGTAGTTGTTCTGTGTCCGCTGACGGCGGCCCCTCCTTTCTGCTGGTCGCTTTGCTATCCTGCCTTCAGGTAGCTGTTCAGTCGGTGTCCGCTCGCGGCTGACCGCCCTGTCCACTGACGGCGGTCCGTCCTGCCGGCTGGTGGTGCCCTATCCGCCCTGTCCACTGACGGCGGTCCGCCCTGCCGGCTGGTGGCGCCCTATCCGCCCGCGGCTGACCGCCCTGTCCACTAGAGTTCTGCACGGCTGCAATTTTCCACAGCCTAGCCGCCCCGCAGCCGTGGCTCCACAGCCACAGCCGCCCACAGCCGTGGCAAACTGTGGGCAGCCAGCCGTCAGCCGGCCGTGGATACTTTCAATGAAATGCAACCAAATAGTATATAATAAGTTGTTTTTAGTTGAAACATATAGCCAAAAGCACATTGCAATGGGCTATAGATTCTCAAGCTCATGAAGCATCATAGGTTAAGTGGTTGTGTATCTGGCTTTAGGCCAAAGACCTGAAGACTGATGCGCAACGCATGCCTACACAAGCCCTTGCAAGGGGTTAAGATGGGTAGGTAGGTACCTACATCAACAGAAAACATAAACAACGAACCAGAATAGAAGCACTAGCAGTGTAGACATCTAATGCCAAATCCTGAAGCATGGTTGTGGGACAGAACAACAGACCCTGATGCTTTTCATTATCAATGTTAGGTATGGAAAATGAAACTGAAGTTGATGGACTGTCAAACAGTGATTGTCTAGTCAAAACTCTTGCTTCTTTCTTACCTTGCATATTTTCTGGGGTGTGATATGCCAGGCTTGAAGCAGCATTCTGAGCAAGTCTCAAACTAATTTGATATGCAAGGCATCAAAACACTAGTGAGCATCCAAGAAAGAAAAGCATTCATCTATTTTGATTTTTCCAAATAATGATCTCCGCTCAAATCCCCAAGGACGTGCGAGCCACAATTGCCTCTTTCAATCAAAAATTTTACTTAAGTTTTCAATGACGTCAATAGCAAAGAAGTGGCAATAAATTGTTTTTTATCACTATTAACAGCCATAAAAATTATAATTTATAAATGATAATGCTATACAATTAAAAATTTGCTCTCAAACAAAGTATAGGTATCAAATTTTTACATTTTTAGAAGCAGACGTCATTTTATTAGTAAAGTCAACAGCTCGCGTAAGAAATATTGTGTTCAGGGTTTACACCGTCATGTGAATCACGTGTTCAGGGTTTTCACCATCATGTGAATTAGCCGTAAGTAAGGTTCATGCTCACTTATAATCTAATTCCATTGGCTTCGTTGATCAGCATTTTCTGTTAGCGGTCACTCACACACCAGTTAGAACATAAAGCGCCAGTTTTATATTATGTAATTGGACTTGCCGAAAATCCAGAAATACATCTAAGAGTTATTTTAGATAATATTTTATGAAGCCTTTACCTGCCTTTACCTAGGCGTGATTTCTTTTTCTATTACCTGAAAGAATTATTGAACGCTCGTCTTCAATAGCTGTAAGGTGCTCTCCTAATGACCAGGTGAGATTGGTTTGAGAGGGATGTGACAATGCAACATGTTGCATTTTCTGAAACTGTCAAGCTCTTGATGATGAAGGAACAATTGGTACCTATAATTAGTATTCTGTACCAGAGAGCAAACTCCCCTACAGCAAATTGTAAAACCATTACAGGTTTTCAAAGGCTTCACCACTTTCAGTGTTGCTGGGCATCCTTTGCATGATTTTTACAGGCTAGACTGCTTATCCGAATGTAAGATTAAGGATTTAAAATTTTATATTCGAGTACTTAAGATTGAGCTTGAAATCTCACAGCCGTGGCCACAGCCGTAGCCGTGTTCTTGGAGATATTTGCAGCCGCCCCGGCCCACAGCCGTGGGGCTGCAGCCAGCCGCGGCTGCAGCCGGCCGGTGCAGACCTCTACTGTCCACTGACGGCGCGGTCCGCCCTGTCCACTGACGGCGCGGTCCGCCCTGTCGGCTGGTGGCTGACTGATGGACCACACAACGGGCGGAAACGTGACCGAGCGGCCGGCGACTGTCGACAAAGCCCAATATCGATGGTGTGGTGCCTGAAGCACCAGCTGTGGGCTGGACGCCGGCAGCCGCACAAGGGAGACAGCATTAGCGGGCTCTACAGTGGTTCACCTGTTGATGGCGCCTAGTTAATGCTTCTTTTATTATATTCATTAAATATCCAGGAACTGATTTGTTGTCTTCAGGGACACTTGCTGCACCTTGCAATAGCTCTGTTTAAGCGATCTTATTGTGATCACATGTCGCAATGCGCAGTTTTGTGACACTTTTTGAGCATACGAGGTGTGACCAAAAAGAAACGAGACTGTGTCCGCTGGGGACACGGCTCAGCATCTACACACCAATTACGTATACCATAGTGATGCGGAGCATTTCAGCATCATATGAGCGAAGTTTCAATTTTTCTGGCCCATTGTCCTTCCTTACACAGGTGTGCCTCTAACCCCCCCTGCAGTGCCCCGTGTCATGTGCTCTTGCATGTCCTCAATCTCTTCAAAAAGTGATCCCTTGAGGACACTCTTGGTGTTCAGGAACAGCCAGAAGTCACATAGTGTTAGATCTGGCGAGTACGGGTGATGTTTCACTCTGGGTTCCACTGTGGGCTGCCCTTCAGCTGCTCCAAGACTTTCGGGACACGTTCACACAGCGAGCCTTTTGATAATTGGAGAACACTTTGGGCAACCTCTTCACGTAAATCTTCCTCGTGCCCAGATCCACCGTCAGGATGGTACTCACCGACTCTGTTCCCATTCATAGCCCCTCAGCCAGCATCCTTACTGTCCATCTGCGATCGTTTTGCATCAGGCTCGTGGATCTTTTCTTCATTTCTGGATGTTGTGAGACGTCATGGCTTCGGATCATCCTCCACATCATCTCGTTCACTCGCGAAACTTTTGTGCCACTCGAACACTCGTGCAGGAGACATTTTTTCGTCTCCATACACATAATTTGACATCGGAAGTGTTTCTGTAGCAGTTTTCCCCAGTTTCACTGAGAACTTGATTTTTGTCCCGTCTGT